GCAAATCATGATTTTGTCTCTGGAAATTATACCAATCGTAAGGGCATGTAATTCAGCCATAAATACAAAGGGTTCTCATGCTCATGCTCAAAAGAAACCAACAGGAGAAGTCACAAGCATCTGGGCCATGGGGAAAAATTGATTTTACTACAAGGCTGCACAATGACAGGCAAGAGGTACAATCGTTCAGTTATCCACAATAAATTGCCATCATTCTTTGGTGAGATCACTCCGATAGATTATTATTAGTAAGATCATGAAACCTCTGATCGCATCTATTACGTTTTTAGGAAACGAACAAAATTAGACTAGTATAGCGGTCAACTACCGAATTTCAATGTAAATTTCAAGACTTGAACTTTCAATCTCAGAGCGAGAAGATCAGATGATACCCACCGGACAACTTCACTCCGTAGTAATTTCCATCATTCATTCCTACACTGTTACAGCTAAAACAATTCAAATAACACACACAGGTCCAGCACTCAGCAAACAAAGAACACCAGGTCCAGAAATGCATTTTGCATATTTGGACAATAACTTCTTACATTAATTATTTTTGTTGCTATCATCTTTCTTAAGGGGAGACTACAAGAAAGATCCTAGCATTGACATTAATAATCTCGAAAACACCCTATAATATTAAAAATTGAATATTGATCATATAAATTTTTTATTTTAAGTAATAATTTATTTTTTATGTTGTAAAATTACACAATTTAAAATTTAATTAAGCAGAGAGAAATAATGATGTTTTTTAGTGAAAAAAAATGTGAAATAAATTTTGTACCTTTCAATAAAAATAAAAATAAAATTAAATGGATATTAACCATTATTATACTTTTATAAATTAAGAATTTAACTTCTTAAATGTAATATATTAATCCAATGTAGAAGATAAGTCACTCCAAGAAGAGATACGGGCCGGATTACGGGTGTATTTAACCGGACGGTTAAATGGAACTGTTGAGCTAATCATTTGGACTGTAAAGCAATATTAAAGGAAAATTTTGATTTTACGGGAAAATCCATTCAATACAAAAAAAGGTTATATCTTAATTAATTGTTCATGTCTTTCTAAATTTGATAGAAAATTTTAATCTGACTTATTTACGATAATTGATTGCAAATACAACAAAATAAAATGAAAGAAAAAATATAAAGAAACATTAAACATATCACATTCTCATTTGACCAAAAAAAATGGCATTAGAAAGTACTTTTTGGGATGTTAGTATTTTACGTCTACAAGCCCACATCAGAAAAAGGAAAAACAAACGACTACAAGCATCATAGAAGAAGGAAAAACAAACGACTACAAGCATCATAGAAGAAGAGAAAAAAATAATTAACAAGAAGCACAAAACTACACAGCGTTGGCTCATTATCGTAAGCGTAAGCTTACAACATTCATTAACAAACATCAACTCACATCGATGCCACCTTTGTGCTAACTATGAAAAAGCGATCCGTGCATGAGACTCACCATCACTAGTGCAGAGTAGGAAAAAAAAAAAAGCAAAAGCAAAAACTGCCGAGTAGACCCACAAATCCACCTTAGTAATCCAGACTACAGAATACTTTCAGTTTCAGCTAAACCACAAACCACTGACCACTTATTCATTACTTGGGGCTCTCAGCTACAGGGGGTATACGAACAACTCCACAATTGGCATGATTATAACAAGCCAAACCACACAATTTCAGTCCACAACTCGTGAGTTGCAAGTCAAACGATTGCACTCTAGAGCACTAAGACCATATCTCCTGAACAAACACAATCAATGGTAAAATTGCAAGAAGTGCAACTCATAATAGACTATCATAAACACTTGCAGAGAATGCCACAGCAAGCAAGTAATGAATATTACAGAAGGATAAAAAGATTGTAATTAAGCATACCCTCAATAAGATTCAGACAATCCATTATTTACAATAGGTTGGCTGCCGAATATGACAAGCATAAACCAGAGACCGGCTGAAGGAAGGGAGGTTTCCAACAAGAGGAAACAATAAGAATTTACAGCGACAGAAGAATAATAAAATTACAGAGAACTCCACCATCAAGAAAACTGCAGCAGATATATCGCGCCGGGTGAGGCATCTGCTGAATAACCCATTTTGGCATTGCCAGCTTCCACATGATCACCTCTATTCTGCAGAACCAAGTGTCCGTCATTAGACACAACTTCAAATCTGCAGCCCAACACCATAAGAGGAACCATTTACTTTTTTTCTGTTGGCGTTGCAAGTAAAGGAAAAAGCTCTACAAAAAGAAGAAGAAGCAACTTCCTCAAGGGGCATGGCATTCCTGTCATGACCTGATTGTCAACCTCAGCGCTGCCATGATTATGTGAACTCCATAGATGACATGATTTTGTCAACTCCATAATTGACATAATTTTGCCAAATTCATTTCATAATTGACATGATTTGTCAACCATTTAATTTCAAGGGATTAATTAATCCGAGCATAAAAACCCATATAATGGGTAAAACCCATTTACTGGGTAACTTGTTTACTATGAAAACCCATCTTTTGGTTCTGCATCTTCTCTCCTTCTTCTCCTCTTTTGCTACTAGTTTTGGTTCTTCTTCTTCTGCTTCCTCTCTGTTGCTACTTCTTCTATGCTTCTGCTTCTTCTTTTTCTTCTCTGCTTCTGTTTTATTTGGGCTCCTCTTCTGTGTTTGTGTTTCTGTGCTACTGTTTTATTTTGGCTGAGATTCTTCTTCTCTTCTTCTTCTNAATCCAGACTACAGAATACTTTCAGTTTCAGCTAAACCACAAACCACTGACCACTTATTCATTACTTGGGGCTCTCAGCTACAGGGGGTATACGAACAACTCCACAATTGGCATGATTATAACAAGCCAAACCACACAATTTCAGTCCACAACTCGTGAGTTGCAAGTCAAACGATTGCACTCTAGAGCACTAAGACCATATCTCCTGAACAAACACAATCAATGGTAAAATTGCAAGAAGTGCAACTCATAATAGACTATCATAAACACTTGCAGAGAATGCCACAGCAAGCAAGTAATGAATATTACAGAAGGATAAAAAGATTGTAATTAAGCATACCCTCAATAAGATTCAGACAATCCATTATTTACAATAGGTTGGCTGCCGAATATGACAAGCATAAACCAGAGACCGGCTGAAGGAAGGGAGGTTTCCAACAAGAGGAAACAATAAGAATTTACAGCGACAGAAGAATAATAAAATTACAGAGAACTCCACCATCAAGAAAACTGCAGCAGATATATCGCGCCGGGTGAGGCATCTGCTGAATAACCCATTTTGGCATTGCCAGCTTCCACATGATCACCTCTATTCTGCAGAACCAAGTGTCCGTCATTAGACACAACTTCAAATCTGCAGCCCAACACCATAAGAGGAACCATTTACTTTTTTTCTGTTGGCGTTGCAAGTAAAGGAAAAAGCTCTACAAAAAGAAGAAGAAGCAACTTCCTCAAGGGGCATGGCATTCCTGTCATGACCTGATTGTCAACCTCAGCGCTGCCATGATTATGTGAACTCCATAGATGACATGATTTTGTCAACTCCATAATTGACATAATTTTGCCAAATTCATTTCATAATTGACATGATTTGTCAACCATTTAATTTCAAGGGATTAATTAATCCGAGCATAAAAACCCATATAATGGGTAAAACCCATTTACTGGGTAACTTGTTTACTATGAAAACCCATCTTTTGGTTCTGCATCTTCTCTCCTTCTTCTCCTCTTTTGCTACTAGTTTTGGTTCTTCTTCTTCTGCTTCCTCTCTGTTGCTACTTCTTCTATGCTTCTGCTTCTTCTTTTTCTTCTCTGCTTCTGTTTTATTTGGGCTCCTCTTCTGTGTTTGTGTTTCTGTGCTACTGTTTTATTTTGGCTGAGATTCTTCTTCTCTTCTTCTTCTCTGTTTATGCAGCTTCTGTGTATGTACTGCTTATGCTGATTCTGTTTGTAATTCGGCTTATGTATATGGCTTCTGCTGCTGCATCTCTGAGTCTGATTCTGCTTATGTTTATGGCTTCTACTGCTGCATCTTTGATTTGGATTTTGCTTCTGCTTCTGCTTCTTTGATTCTCTGCTTCTGTCCTGCTGCTCTAAAATATTTACTTGCTTTTTTTACTGTTTGCTTCGCTTCGCCTCTCGCCTAGGCCTTAAATAATGTGAAGACCCTGGTCCATTACCGGACCCCTGTCTTCCAAGGGCATTCCTCCCATTACCGGGATATCCCGCCCTCCACCAAAGGATTTCGGCTGACCTGCGGGGTAACCCCCCACAGTAGCCTTTACCTCTGTCCCACATCGGGGAAAGAGTCGTCTCCCCAGGGGTCCAGTAATGGACCAGAGTCTTCACATACTGCTCTCATATGGTGCTTCGGCTTATATGGGGGTGGGGAGACGACTCTTTCCCCGATGTGGGACAGAGGTAAAGGCTACTGTGGGGGTTTGCCCCGCAGGTTAGCCGAAATCCTTTGGTGGAGAGCGGGATATCCCGGTAATGGGAGGAATGCCCTTGGAAGACAGGGGTCCGGTAATGGACCAGGGTCTTCACATAAAAGGCGCCTTTTATGTGAAGACCCTGGTCCATTACCGGACCCCTGTCTTCCAAGGGCATTCCTCCCATTACCGGGATATCCCGCCCTCCACCAAAGGATTTCGGCTGACCTGCGGGGCAACCCCCCACAGTAGCCTTTACCTCTGTCCCACATCGGGGAAAGAGTCGTCTCCCCAGGGGTCCAGTAATGGACCAGAGTCTTCACATACTGCTCTCATATGGTGCTTCGGCTTATATGGGGGTGGGGAGACGACTCTTTCCCCGATGTGGGACAGAGGTAAAGGCTACTGTGGGGGGTTGCCCCGCAGGTCAGCCGAAATCCTTTGGTGGAGGGCGGGATATCCCGGTAATGGGAGGAATGCCCTTGGAAGACAGGGGTCCGGTAATGGACCAGGGTCTTCACAAATAACACTGGGTAAATTGGTTTACCATGAAAACCCATATATGGGTAAAAACCCATTTAATGGGTAAATTGTTTTACCATGAAAACCCATATATGGGTTTTTAATGGGTAAATTGCTTTACCATGAAAACCCATATATGGGTAAATAGGTTTACTTTCTGGATCCAGATCCCCTCAAATAGACAAATACATTATCTTCAATTCCTTCCTTGGCGGACTCATTAATGGTGGATGTCCATAAAGAAATGAATTGAAGAGATAATGTATTACTGGGGATCTCACTCCTTACTTGCTATCATGCATACTCAAGGCCCGGAAGTGGGCCAAAAAGATCATCCAACTCTATAAAATCTCCTCCTTGAATGGCTGTGAATTGTTGAGCGGCCGAATCATCTTCAATCATAGTACCACTGCTTATATGTCCCGAAGATCTCATCTGCAACCATAAATGAAACGTTAACAAGAAAAAGGTGAGACACCTACATTCAAGCAGTCTAAGCCATGATATTATGAATGTCTTATCATTTTTACACACAAAAAATAGCCGCTAGACATGCATAAAGAAACAACTATCTCATCTAGAATTTAATCAATAAAGAAAATCAATATAGAACAACGAAACCGATGAAAGACTAAACCAACATGTGGTGGACAGTGGACTTTTGCAGACTTGCATACTCCCCATGCAGTTAAAAAAGAATGGGACAGATGTGGCATATATTCGCAGATTTTTTTTTTTTTGGTGCTTATATTCGCAGACCTGTGTTTGAAATAAAATCAAAGGAAAAGTGGAAAACCTAGGCCATGTTTGGTTAGCTTTCCGGAAACTGTTTTTTGTTCTCAAAATTTCAAAAACACCCAAAGTCTGTTTGTTTATCTTTTTTGTTCTCAAAATTTTGAGAAAAAATGAAATTTGAGTCAAAGAAACAGAAAACAAATTTTGCTTGTTTTCAGAGTATTCTTTGAAAATTTTGAAAATAATGAGAACAATTTTAGACTTTAATGAGGTTTGCCCTTCAAGTTTCCTTAGCAGCAAATTTCTTCATTCTTTTTTTTTTACTTCTTCCTCTCTCTCATAATATATAATATATATTATAATATATTATATTATATTATATATTATATTATATTATAATATGTATATTTATATATTATATTCATATATACATATAAGTATATATAATATATATATTTAGGCTGTCCAAACAGGTTTTACTATTTTTTGTATTGTAAAATTATTTTTGAAATCATCTAACCAAACAAGTTTTTTATCTCAAAAAATATCAAAACCACTTTCTTAAAACCCTTCTCAAAAACTGTTTTCAGATACTAGTTTTTGAAACGCAAACCAAACAGGCCCCTACATTTTAAGTTCAGATATAGAATGCAGTTTGGATTTCGTAGAAATTACAGCATTACAACTGCTCTATGAAAAAAACCCAGCCCATGCATCACGCAATCCCAGAACAAGCAAACAAAAAAAAAGAAAGTTAGAATAAAAAGGAGGCTTAGCCAACAAGCCAATATATCAGCATAATACCAATTGGTGTAGCACACATCTAAAGTACGCAGAACAAGAAATATAATACCATTTATATACAATATCAATTAGTATGGTAGTTGTCAATGTTGCATTTTAATACACATAAACAAAAGAAAGACAATGAGCAGCATCTTATTTGGACTAGCAACAAAAAGTGTTTGATAGTACCTGCTCAGAAAATGTTCTACTCATAATTTGATCATTTAGGTCACTAACCAGTCCCACTGGAAACCTCAACACCTCATCATCTCGATCAACAGAGTTGTCATCATGCACTTCATCTTCACCAATGAGTGATTTAATGGTTCCATCATACTGAACACCAATGTGACGCACTGCAGTCACACTTTCTTCACCACAAGAACTTAGGCCCTGTTCTGATACATTATTGCCACGTCGAGGTTTGACAAACACTCGGCATAAAACAAAAGACGCCTGCACAAGAGTAAAAATATGAGACTACAACTGACGAGTTGGAAGTTCAACAAAATACACACCCCAAGTCCCCCACCTTTATTGTTCCCCTCTCTCCACATTCTCCAAAAGTTTCCAAAATATGATCTAAACAGAAGAACACAGACAACATTTGTACCCACACCAACTACTACTTCCCCTAACAAAGAAACAAAGACAACTCAGATAATTCTTTAATAATTAGAAAGCATTTGTCAATGTTGGCATACCGACACAAGTCATAGGATTACATTAGATAGGACTTTTGTTGTCTCAAAAATCTGAATAATACACAAAATCGGATACAACAAGCTTGACAAAAATACATAGGTTTTATCCCTGTTACAATTAATCGCTGAATATTTTGAGGCTTATTCACCTAAAATAAATGTGACACAGAGTAATTTATTTCATCACATGATGGAATCACAAAATGTCAAAAAGAATTCATACAAGCATAACATCCAATTTGAGGGAATATAGGACCACTAAAAGCTGGAGTCTTCATAAAGAACATAGGCCCTTCACAAGATTATATTTAGCAGATGGGTCTCACATCAGATTGACCAGAGACAAACAAGAGATAACAAAAGCCCTTGAACAATGCTTCAACCGTATTCCAAAAACCATCTCTTTAGTTTTTAACATCTACAGAATTGCATTGAATTATTCTAAGATTTATACAAGTCAAGCCGAAATTCTATTAATAACAAAAAAAAAATTCATCTAAACCCCCAAATCTTATTGTTGACACATTAAAGCAAAATCTCTTGAGCTACGTTTGGCACACAGAAATATTTTCAAGTAGGAATGGAATGAACACGGAAATGAAATGAGCATTACCATTCCAATGTTTGTCAACAATTTAGGTTTGGCTAAGTAATTTTTCAAGGGAATTAATATTCCTACAAACCAAACAAGGGAATGACTATTACTAAGTAATAATCATTTCATTCCTAAGGTCTAACACCACGTACCAAACGCAGCTTTAAAGTCTCCAACAATCCAAAAAGAACATAATGACATGGAAAATGCAGTTCTTGAAAAATGCACAAAATCAACCAATTCAAGTACAACGAACGGCAATTAATATCCCAAATAAACTCCAGCATCCCAAAATTTGCCCCATTTAACCAATAAACTTCAAGCTTCAAAACATTCAAATTGTTAAACCAAAACCAACCACACATACTCGCTCACATACACAGATTTACACATACAAATAAAAAAAAAAATTTGACAAATAGAAGTCTTAAAAATATACCAAGCGAGGATCAATTAGGGCATACTCGTACATGACCCAATCAGTCCTCACAGCAGTTTCAGCCTCATCCCCAAGATAAAACACAAAAAACTTCCGCGTCCCCACCACAACCTTCCCTGCACCTCCACCCACCACATCCCTAACTCTCCCCATCTTCCTCCAATACCCTCCACCAGCTCTCCTCCTTCCTCTCTCCTTCAAAACCCTAGACACAAAGCAATACCAGTGCCTCTTCCTCCCTCCTCTCCCGAAGCGGAAACAAGCCGGATCCGGCAAATCAAAAGGGTTGTAATTGTACAGATCAATTTCCTTAATTACATCCAAGCCATACCATGGATCGCCGTTATTCTTGGAAGTGAGGTAGCAGCAGAGTAGTTGTTCGTCGGAAGGGTAGAATCGTGATCCCGGTGGGAGTGAGTACGACGTCGGATTGGTAGGGTTTTTGTTGTCTCCCATTAATGAGGAGAGAGAGATCGCAATTTGGGGGAATTTTGTGTAGCAGAGAACGCGGTGATGGAATGGAGTGAGGGTTTTTATAAAGGGAGAACAGTGAAGAAGCGTGGGCATGAAGCTTCTCTTGGGTTTTTGCTGTGTCATGGTAGAGTGTACGTGCTCCAGTCCACTTGTGTGGGAATTGTGGCACGTGGTTTGTATCTTACATATATTTTTCTTCGATTGTTAAAAATGAATTCAAATAAAACTATTTATTTAACCAATGAATAGCTCTAATTTCTAATGGTGATAGTTTTTTACACCAGAAGAAATTAGTATATTAGTACCGCTCAAAATCAACACAAAATTAATAAGTTAAAATTTATTATTTTTTGACACAAACTTATAAATAATACGATATATTAATACAAATAATAAATAGCATTACCCTTTAACATAAATTTTATACCAAAAAAATGATGTTTTTACCTATATTTTTTATTATATTTATTAAATTAATTTTAGTTTATAAAAAAAATAGAACATAAATACTATTATATTAAACGATAATAAAATATTAAACTTAAATCTTAGCATTAACTTTTTTTATTCACAAACTATATACATCAACATAAACACAACACAAAAATAAAAAAATCAGATCAACAAAATTAGTTAACTGAGATAAATTTAGATTTGATTAATGCCCAATACATACAAACCTGTGAATGAAAACAACACACACACCCAACACAACTCGATCGACACCTCTGGGCAAATAGTTGACAGAAGTTCATCATTTAAAACTAATATCCATCGATAAGGATTAAATTATCACAAAAAAATTGGGGAACTAAAATAGGATTAACGTGAAATTACAAATATTCAAAGAATACTTTGCAATGATGAATTCAATATTACTCTAATTTAGAGAGGAAAAAACACGACTCAGAAATTAACTAAAAGAACACCCATAGAATTTCCGTGTGCGTGAGTGTTTTTGGGTGTGCGCACGGGCAGAAAGTGTTACTAAAACCAGACCCCTTCCACCTATAAAAAAACTGTTAACATGACTCCAATTTGAGTACGAAACAATAAAACAATCATAGGACAGCAATTAAGGTACAAACAAGCCTAACATTCTATTAAAAACAAACACAGCATAAAGCAAGGGCAATCTTAGAATCTCTAAAATCATCAAAGAACCACAAAGCATACTGCTTTCACCCACAAGGAAACTTTTTTCAATCAGACACTTGTAATGAAACGCATGGGCACTCGTTTAACCAAGGTTGTCGTTGAGGGATAATGAGGCTAATTGGTCAGCAGCTGGACTGTTAGCCGGATGAACATTCCTCAGGACCTCCATAGCCTCTGCAACTTTTGCCTTCAAAGCATCCGGCGATTCAAGTAAATGCAGAACTTCAGTTTGGTCCATCTCCAAAAGCATGCCTGTCACCTTAGCCGCGTGTTCGTGTTCCAGCTGATCCACGAGTGGGTACAAGTTCTCGCCCAACATCTGTCAATTCAAAAGAAGAATATGTTAACATCGCAGTGTGAGGACAACCTTATTAGAGTGTAACTAACAGAGCATGGTATGGTATATAGCTCACCGTCCTCTGCTGATCAGGCAATGCATTTGCAAGGGCAGAAGCCAAAGCGGTGATTGGCATAGGCTGTCCCATTGCAGGATCTCGAGGAAATATGCCACCCATGTCATATGGAACAGAAAGCATGCCTCCAGCAATGCCTGGCATTGGCATGTCAGGCACATTACGACCAGGCGGATAGCGGTACATGCGTCCCCTTGGGAGCATCTAAAGATTAACAACAAACGTTATTTACCAAATACCAAGTAGTAAAAAAGAAGGGCACAAAGGGGAAACAAAATACCATACAAAAACTGACCTGCTGCTGCATCAGTGGAACCGGTTGCTGAGTTTGTTGTACAGGACCTGCTCCACGTCTCCCACCAGGGCGCTGACCCTGCTGACCTTGCTGAACCATTGGCATAAAGAAATTTGGCATAGGAGCCCCACCTGGCCGCATTCCTGGAACAAGCTGCTGCTGATAGCCAAATCCAGCCTGAAAAATGCATGTCTTCAATTAGTGCTAAGAAGAGACTACTTACCAAATTTAGACACATAAGACATTCAAAAAAAAAACTTCAATACAAGATAGGAATAGCTCAAGCCAAAACACAACATCCCAACAACATAAATGGAATTGATTCAGCTTTTACTTCTGCACAATTATCTATTAAGCAAACAGTTAAATAAAAAGAATTACCAGACTTCAATCAGGAAAATATCGATATATTCAACTGGAATTTTTTGGTCTTTTTTAAATTTGATGAGTACAGGATAGGAATAGCTCAGCCAAAACACAGCATCCCAACACCATATATGGAAATAATTCGGCTTTGAACATTTATACTTTCATACAATCTATCAATTCAACAATGAGTACCAATAGGAATTACCGGACTTAAATCAGGAAAGATAGATATATTCAACTGGGAACTTTTTTGGTCTTCTAAGAATCTGATAAATTTACACCACCCAACCCGCAAGGCGCACAGCCAGGGGGTAGTACATATCCAAACCTCCGCCTAATGGACGTCACAGTAGTATGTTCAAGAAAACAAAACAATTGTTATTTAAGGCGAAATGTATATCCTAAATGCACCAATCAGGAAGAGTAATAACGTGCACGTCAAAGGAGACAATAGGGAAAGGGTCACACCAATATTAGTGTCAATTGAGATAGCAATAGAAGACTTGATTAAGTATTTGGCTAAGTTCAGTGGTACTCCTTCTTTTGTGAAGGTTTTGTCTTCTTGAGGTCAAAGGTTCAAGTCCCCTTCTCCCTCCCCCCACCCCAAAAAAAAAAAATACTAAGAGAAAAACAGATGAGAACAAAAAAAAAATGAGAGGGTAAATGAAAAAAGGGAACGAGTTAGGCTAGTGTTGGCCAATGACCTTGCCAGGGGGATGAAAACCAAAAAACAAAAACAAGGAGCCCAAAGAAATTCCTTTGTGCTAAACTAAGAATCAAGTCAAATTGTATCTTCAAAAAAGGTGGAAGATACGAGGTTGACTGGTAAAAATGGCATTTTTACAACCATTTGCTTCTCACAAAAAAATGGCCCATCAATTATCCTCTTGCAAGAATATGGCACAAAAAGAAGACATTTGCACAAATATTCTCCAACGTAGTCTTTCTTCTTTTTTTTAGATTTTTTCTTCTTTGTAAAAAAAATCCACCAAAATATAGAAAGAAGTTACCTGGGGAGGGATTATGGCAGGCGGTCCTTGCCCATAAAACACGTGTTGTCCCACACCTGGAGCACCAGGAGGATACATTGGCATACGAGGAGCCATTGACGGTGACATTGCAACTGGCCTCATTTGTGAAAACTGTGCCTGCATGAGGTAAATGATATGTGAAAATGGAAAAGAAAGCTGTATTTTGCCCCTAGCATTAACACAGCATTGCTTCTGATTTTCCTAAAGCCATAGAACATTAGGATGACAAAGTTGTATCAAGATGAGGGCAAAATTATTTCTGGGCATCACATGAGGACATGAGCAGGATGATCATTTCAGGAGACATTCACAGGCAATGTTGAGAAAAATACAGCTAAATTACATCTGATTCATCATCTCGGCTTTTCCAACCCAAAAAGGGAAAAAAAATTGTAAACAATTAAGAAGCCTTCTTTTGCCACATCGTGACTTCAAAACTAGAAAAGAAATCCATCACTGTAATAATCCATCAACAATATTTTAATTTCTGGCAGTAAAGAGTTATGATAAAAAGCAATTTGAAGTAGGGAAACAAGAAACTATGACGACTGAAAAGCCCTAACAATAACTTGCAACCGATTTTCAGTATGTCAAAAGGAACAGGAATTCCAATTATATCCAGAACACTCACCACTAAAACATCATAACTATACATTGATTTCAATTTAATTCTGACCAGAACTCTAATCGTAAGAGGTCTGAAGGACCTTTTGCAGAATCTAGATTGGGTCAATTGTGATATAGTACAACAGAAACAACAGGTCAATGTCAGTTTCCGAACTCCCAAGTTAAATATTCATGTTTGCATTTAAGATCAGAACTTCAAACAATTGTACTTCCATTTCAGATAAGAACTAACAGCAAAGTGGGACACATTCTGAAGTTTATTACTTGCATACTATCAAACTGATATTTCAACATCTTACACATCTATACACCTAGACATATTGATATGTATATTGGGAAGACGTTTCTTCTAAGATCCACAATCATTGAGAATCTAAACCACCCTCATATATTTTCAGAATGCATCACCAGCCACAACAAAATATAACAGAAGGATAAGGATTTTACAACATGATAACCATAGTCAGTCCATCCATAGTTTATTTAAGGCATTCCACTTATCAATCAAGAATAAGTAAAAAAGAATAGGGAAACAATAGCCCATAAGGACACAATAAGACATTATGTCACCTGCAACCTTGCTCGTCTGTCTTCCTTCCGCTGTGCAAGTGCTACATAAAGTGGTTTACTAACAACCATTTTCCCATTCATCTCAGCAAGCTGTAAGCAAAAAATAACATATCAGTTTTCTCAAAACCTATCCAAACCGTCCCACAATAAATCAACTTACAGCTCTTGAAGCTTCTTCAGGAGTCGAGAATGCAACAAATCCAGATCCTCTACTGATTCCACTGGGATCGCACATAACCTATAATGTCACCATAAATATTAAAAACTTGTAAACCTAAACAAGATAAAGAGATAGAGTCAACCATAATAAACATGAGGGGTTGTGAAAGAATGGAAGATGGAGGAGAGGAGAAGAAAAAAAGAGTGAAGAAAGATGGCTAACTGCTTAATATTTCTTACACAAGCATACATCCACCAACCTTGCTTGATGTAATTGTACCAAACTCAGAGAACAATTCCCTGAGTTTATCGTCATCAATACTATCATCTAAGTTTTTGATATATAAATTCACTCCTTGGTACTTGTCCACTGCTTCCTTGGCACTCTGCTCAAATCGACTTTTTAGTTCAAGCTCTCTTTCAGATTTCTTCTGGGCTTTCCCAACATACCACTCCTTATCATCATATTTGTATCCATTTAAGGCCTCAACAGCTTTAGCAGCATCATCTGCATTCTCAAAGTTGACAAACCCAAAACACCTGGATTTTCCCTCTCCGTCCCTCATCACTACAGCACTAGTAATTGTTCCATATTCACCAAAAATTCTCTTTAAATCATCTTCTGTAGTAGATTCTGCCAGATTTTTCACATACACATTGTTGAATTTCGTCTTATTCATCACACTTTCTCTTTCTTGTTTACGAAGGAAGTGTCCAACATAAACTTGTTTATCATTAAGAAGCATGCCATTTAACTTATCTATGGCGCTTTGAGCAGATTCTTCACTGTCAAATTGTACAAAACCATATCCTTTGGACTGGCCATTAGAATCTGTAGATATTTTGCAAGAAAGAATACTGCCAAAGCTTGAAAATGTATCATGGAGTGCTTTGTTGTCAATTGCCTTGTCCAAATTCTGCACAAAAGGCCAAAAAACTACACATAATTATTATCGATAAACACCGAAATCCAAGGAAATTTATTAACATACATATCTAGCAAGTCGAGGGTATATTTCATTTCCTGCGGTACACTTTCCCAGAATGGACAAGATAACTAGCAGAGGCAGATCCAGTTTAGTAAAATTTGCAAACCTTGAAGTAAAAAAGTAAGAGCGAAAAAAAATATATAGATCAGAATACACGTCCAGAATATATTTTTTCTTCCCTCCATAATCTACAGCCACCAAATCACAGAAACAAAATCAACACCATTTGACTTTTTAATCACACATGATTTATTAGTGGAAACTGTGGAATCCAACAGCTCTCTATATACCCACTAAAAAAATGTGTGACAAACTGGATGAGAAAGACTCCTAAAACGGAGAAGAGCTAATCCTTCCCACAACACTTATCCAAAAAAACAAAATTCCTTCCCACAACAGAAACTAAACCATACTTCAAGGTTTAATGCAACAAAACAACCACCAAAACATTGTAAAACCAAGAAGGAATTAAACTAAATAAAGACAAGACAAGATAGAAAACCTGCCAAACGAGGGAAAGTACCTTTATAAATATATTTGCTGTTCCACTTTTACGAATACTAGGATCCCGGTGAGAATACATGATTCTAATATACTTGCCATTGAGTGGAGTGAAGTTTAGCATATCCATTGCCCTAGCCGCTGCAGTGACAATGAACTAACATGTCAAATGTGAATATGCATGTGCACATAACAACACAAACAAGAAAGTTGTTTTGTTCCTTTACAAGCACCAAAACAGAGAAGCAGATATGTTTGACATTTTATATCCGACTAGTACCAATATTAAGTGCTTCAAGAATGACCACAAACCATGTTACGGTCATCGCTGAAGAGAAAAATGGACTAAAATATTTGAGTCAGCATTTCCAATAGTCTCCTAAAATAAACATGTTCCCGCCAGTGGATTCAAAGAAGCACAAAAATGGTCGCCAATCATTCACACAATTTTCATCCATGTTGAAGCTACAAAAGCAAAATTGACGAGGTCAAGAGGAGATAGGGGAGATCTATAAGCCCAGAGTTTGTAACTTGACAAACCCTTAGGGCTAGCCTCCTAGACGTTAACACAGTTTGGTTAGTAGGATGGGTCTCCATTGACTGGATGAATCTTATCTAGGATTAGGGTGTAGGTTTGCCTCCTTGCCGACTGTGTGAATCCTGATTAACCGTTGCAAGTGTTGAGAGGCTGGTACGTGTGACACTCTCCAAAGAGGAATATACATAATGAATACAAACAAAACCATAAATTGTACTTCAAGAGTTGTAATCCAATAGAAAACCAATGAACTCAACTCCTTACTATAACTGGCAATATTTAAAGAGCCATTTCTAAGAAGAGTAATGAACAACTATTCAACAATATCCACAACCGAAAAGTTAATTCTCACCGTATAATACACTGATTTCACAGATTTAGATATCTCTACAACAAAACCTAACAAGTCATTTCTTGTTGACTCGGACAAGAACTTGCCCAAAAATTTGTAGGCATTATCAACAATTTCTCTATCCAAAAAATGATATAATATTATAAACAAGCTTTTCAAATCGAGGAATTCAAAACTGTTCGAATTGTAACCCAAAATTAAAGTGAATACATACAAAAGAAATACATAAAAAGAGAATACTAACCATCTTGAGAGGTGCTGTAGTTGACATAACCGTAGCCAAGGGAACGCCGAGTGCTCAAGTCCCTACAAACCCTAACCGACACAACCTGACCCACCTGGTTAAACAGATCATAGAGCTGCGAATCGTTCACACTAAAATCCAAATCCCCAACGTACAACGACGTCGACACGACCTGGTTCGCGCCGGCAGCCACTCCATTCGGTCCCATTACCGGAATCTGCACCTGAATCTGCGCCATTTCTTCCAGAATACCCCTCAGAAACACCACTTTTTCTACTAATTTTCCAAAATCTTTTGCCCTTTTTTTTCGATTTTTTGTTCCCTCTCCTCTATAATTGATTCGATAATAAAACCCTAATAAGAGCGTTAAAGTACACAATAGAAACAAAACTCGAAGGACTCTGAGCTAGTGTGATATAGGAACTTCTGAGAAATTTATTGGGTATTTTGGGGTTAAGAGAGGAGAGGGAAGGATAAAACGGGGATAAATAGTCGGAAATCCGAACGGAACTGAGAGTCGACAATGAGATAAGAGAGAGAATGGGAGGGCAGACAGACTGCACCGCACCGGCTGAGATGAAACTGTGAAGTTTATATACGAACAATCAGAAACCCTAAACTGAGATGTTGGCGAAATCTGGACCGTTGGATAGGTTTTTTGGATTGTCTCACACATGGCGGTTTCGGTTGGATGGCTTGACGTTAACGGTCGCGTGGCGTAAACGGTATAGCTGATAAGTAATGAATGTAAAATGATCCGAGTTGTGCACGTAACGATCCAACTTTGGAAAGAATATTCAGTGTACCACCGCCTGGCCCCCCTGTGATCGAATTTTAATTCAATTAATCAGATATAAATTAATATTTTTTATTAATAATATAAATTTAAATTAAGATTTAAATGTACCTGTATATGATTCGTTTATGATTAGTTAAGAATTATTTATATATTTTTTTTATAAATATTTAAAAAATTAACTAATTATTTAAAAAAATTAATTAAATTTTAGATGGATCGAATTTTCGGGTCAAATTTTTTATCATTAATGTGCTCAAATATAGATCATAAAAATAAAATTCATTAAATAATAAGATCAAATTTGGTTTGTACTTTTAAAATCGAATTCAAAGCATTCAAAATTTGGTTTGTTGACATACCAAATTGTATCGGTTTTAGTATGTCATTAATTAATAAATAAATATGAGATATTAATTTCACTAATTTTATATAATAATTATTAAATAAGAAAATTTTTGACAGTTATAGGACTTGGTGAGAATTACTAATCTTGTATATTTATTCATAATTAATTAGTGAGAACATAGAGTAATAATAATGTAACCGTTATATTGAATATTCATCGTTGATCGTATCTGAAGACTTACAACAAATAAAAATTTTTAAATAATTGCCTAAATTAAAAAAGAATAACCTAAAAATATTCATATCAATTCTTCTTTTAAAATGACTCGAAATATATCATCGATCCTCCATATTATTGAAACTATCATAAAAATATATAAAAACTCCTCAAAACAATATTATATTTACAAATGTTTCTAGAAAAAAAAAACAAATACTAACATAACTCATTGAAATTTATAATTTTTAAACAATAAATAAAATCTTCCTCATTTATAAGACTCATAAATTTACCACTTCTACCATCACTCAATTTAATAACACAACATAATTATAAACTCTGATAATGCACAAAATAATTTTGCACACCACCTATCAAGTGTAAATAATAAATGCAATAAAAGTAAAGAGAGAATTAGATGAGACAAAATTTATAGTGGTTCGGTCAACTCGACTTACGTCCACTCTTGAATGACTCTAGTTGCTGGGTATTTTATTAATTTAAGGGTGTGGAGAGCAGAGAGTACAAGCTTTGAGGGAGAGGAGAGAGTCGTGCTCAGGGAAAGTGTGATGCCCAAGTAATCAGTGTGGTCTCATCATGCCCCTCAAGTATTGGTGGAGCTCACAATTTATAGTTGCCCTCTTAACAGATTTGGGCGAGGTGCTAGCAACTACATAACTATTCCGGTGGAGCTCATGACTTCTCCTCAACGGGCTAGGCAGTTGCGGTGCTCTCCATGGGATGCGGTCAAAGATACGGTAAGGGTGGACCGTTTCCTTCGATGGTGCAGGTAAGGCTTCCCATGCTCTCCCTCTTGATGGGCTAAGCAAAAAGTCTGATTGGTCTTGGGCTATGTTGGGCTTGGTGGATCTTTAAATGAGGTTGGGCTCCTCAATTGGGATTTGAACTTTCCACATAGATTGGGTCATTTGGGCTTGACCCATCATTTGCCCTCCAATGCCCCGTGTTCAAGGAAACTTGGAGAATGGTGCATTAATTTGTTTCTTAAGTTATAAGTGGTGAAAACTTCCTCTGCTAAATAACTCTTTCCCTCCACAATGCATTTTTGCTTTAAATGCCTCAAGTTTTTTTCACTTTTGCTAGGATTTTTAGAAGAGCCCATAACCTTCAATTTTAATTTTTCCCTCTTTAAAAACCTTAAGCTATAAATATAATCATCTCCTTCATTCTACTCATTTCATTCACTTTGAGATTGAGTACTCACCTCTTGAAAACCTTAAGAACTCAAGTCCTACCCATTTCGAGTGGAGTTTTCAAATGGGCAATGTTGATTGAAGAATGAGTAGTGGAGATCGAAGGAAGGGAGGAGGTAGGCACCACTTTAGGCGCTGGTTTGGGCGAATTTAAGGAATTTTCTTGGAATGCAGGGGGCTGCCCAGGCATTGGAAGGGCTGTCTTGGACAGCTTGGGAGTTGAAGGAGTTGTCCTGGATAGATTAGGCGCTGAAAATGTTGTCTTGGACAGCTTGGGCGCACAGAAAAGAGAGCTGGATAGCTTGAACTGTAGCACAATGAGCTGGACAGCTTGGGTGGAGTGCTAGACAGCTTGAAAGTGCAAAATAGGGAGCTGGGCAACTTGGGTGCGCAGAGCAGGGAGCTGGACAGCCTCGTGCAAGTAACAAATGGGGCTATCCAGACTATCAGACGTGCACAGTGGGCGAGCTGGGAGGCTGGGCAGCAACCTGGACGCTCTTTCTACTATCCTAGACAACTCAGACGCGCTGGGCAGCACAGATTCCGCTGTCCTGGGCAGCTCACGAGCGATGGACAACAATTTTTCTTTCAGCAAAAAGTGTAGGAAATCAATCCAAAGTGCAGTGCGGAGAGCAGGACAGCAACCTTGGTGCAGGGGGTGATCTAAGTGCTGCTCCAGGCAATGATTCGGGCACCGTAAGCGCTGATTTAGGTGCCAAAAGTGCTGTTTTGTACAACTTTGAAGGGCCAGACACCTCTCCAGTTACTGGGCTGCTCCGTTTTGGCTAGCAAAGGCGGTCAGGCACCCCTCCAAGTGTTGGGTTACCCTGTTTGGTCGAGCAAAAGTGGTCAAGCACCTCTTCAGGTGTTGGGTAGCCTCATTGGAGCGAGCAAAGGTGGTCAAGCATCTCTCCGGGTGCTGGGCTGCCTCGTTTGAATGAACATAGGGTGTCAGACACCTCTCCAGGTGCTGGGCTGCCTCGTTTGGATGAGTAGAAGGGGTCAGTCATCTCTCCGGGTGTTGTGCTTCCTCGTTTGGATGAGTAGAGGGGGGTCAAGCACCTCTCCAGGTGCTGGGCTGCTCCATTTGGGCGCGCATACACCTCTTCTAGTGCTGGGCTGCCTCGTTTGAATGAGCATAGGGTGTCAGACACCTCTCCAGGTGCTGGGCTGCCTCGTTTGGATGAGCAAAAGGGGTCAGTCATCTCTCCGGGTGTTGTGCTTCCTCGTTTGGATGAGTAGAGGGGGGTCAAGCACCTCTCCAGGTGCTGGGCTGCTCCATTTGGGCGCGCATACACCTCTTCTAGTGCTGGGCTGCCTCCTTTAGGCGCCTGGGAGGTTCTGGACGTCTGTATTGGGCGCTTGGGAGGTGTTGGGTGCCTTGGACGAGCCTGAGACTGTCTTGGGAGAACCTGCTTGTGAAGACAAAAATAATGTTATTCTAAATATTAAAATATCTCACATAATTACCAGTAGAGAGAGGTAGGTTGCTTGTGCGAGAGCAAAGACAGAGTTGGAGAACTGCTCGTGAAAGAGTTACACCTTTTGAGACCTAGCTCTTGGCGACCCATGAGAAAGTCTCTAAGCTTGAGGTATAAGTTGTCTGCTTGAGAACAGCGTAGAGGCCAAGCTTTTGGCGATCCATGAAAAAGTCGTTCAGCTAAATATACAGGCTGTCTGTTTAAGAACAGTGCAGAGGCTAAACTTTTGACGACCTGCGAGAGAGTTGCTAAGCTGGATATTGAGGCTGCCTGTTTAAAAACAGCGTAGAGGCAAGCCAAGCTTTTAGCGACCCGTGAGAGAGTTGCTAAACTGGATATTGAAGATGTCTGTTAGAGAACAGTGCAGAGGCAGGTCAAGCTTTTGGAGATCCGCGTGATGATTCACCTCGCCTGGACCTGTTGATTTCCTCAGCGTTCATATATTTTTGAGCTTTTGCCAATAGTTCTGATATACTCTTTGGTGGTTGCTTCATTACTGAAAAAAGGAATCTGGATGAGCGGAGGCCTCCCAGAAAGACGATCATGGTGACTTTGTCATTGGGCTTCTCGATTTGGAGGACCTCCTCATTAAAACGAGTGAGGTAATTCCTCAGACTCTCGTCTTGATCCTGTTTTATATTGAGCAGATAGGTGGCAGGTTTTTGTTGGCAGCGTCCACCAATGAACTGTGCCACAAATGATCTGCTCAGTTCGACGAAGGAGCCTATAGAGGCCGAGGTGAGTTTGGCGAACCATTGTCACGCTGATCCCTTCAAGGTAGTTGGGAATGCCCTACACATAATTTCGTTTAGGACATTGTGCAACTGCATCAAAGTTTTGTAGGTGTCGAGGTGGTCTAGTGGATCCTTTGTTCTGTCAAAGGTCTCCACGGATGGCATTTTGAACTTTTAGGGAAGGGGGTAGTTCGCCACATCAGGTTTGAAAGATGTGTCTGTCCACATTAATAGGTAGTCCACTGTCTTGGGTCCTTGCGCTTTCATGGCGTTGAAGACATCACGTAGCTGATTTTACACTTCCTTAATTTTCTCATCCCAGTGACTGGGGACTCCTCTGGAATGATTATGGAGATGACTCTCATACTCCATGCTTTGGTTTGTATCCTCATCCTCTTGGAGATGAAGGTCTTCACCATGGGAAACAGGAGGAGGAGGCGGTGGATCATGATGGGCTGCCCTGTGTGGGGCGCCCAGACCTGCATGGACTACCAAATGGGAAGCAGCAAGGTGTGGAGCTCCTTGATGTCTAAGGCGTTGAGTTCCTTGATGTCCAGAGCATGGAGTTCCTTGATGTCCACGACGTGGAGCTTCTTGAGGCACTCCATGTTGTGCACCTCCAAGTTGCGTTCCTCTTTGTCCGGCGAGTATGAGTTGTAGTATTTGCCAGTTTTGGGCTATCAGCTGCTGTGTGGTCTCCAACATTTGTTGGGAATTTGGAGCTGGAGCATTCATGATAGGGTTGGTAGGTGAAGGAGCAACCTCCTCCTCTCGTGGTGGATTGTCTTCGTGTTAGTTCATGGATCGGGTAGTGATCGTCGTTGGTTCAATAGATGAAATGTTCAGGAGTGAGAATT